AACAAACCAAGAAAGTTGCGTAATTCCTAAAAGTTGGCTTGTAAATGCGAAAATACGCGTTAAAAAATGGTGCGACTATATGTAATGCTTCCCAACTCATTATAGAGGTCCTCGTACATTTTTTTTGGGTACTCTAAGGCGCCAGATCCATGGGCTAATACATACGAAAAATTGAGAAAGTCGCTTAATTCCTAAAAGGTGACTCGTAAATGCGAAAATATGCCTAAAAATGGTTAAACTATACGCAATGCTTCCCCAACTCATTACAGAATTCCTCTTAAAGGTTTTTCAAACAAAAAAAAATTGTGTGCTCCAAGACGTCAGTTCTATGGGCTAATACACACGAAAACCAAGAAAGTCGCGTAATACCTAAGAGTTGGCTAGTAAATGCGAAAATATGCCTTAATAATGGTAGAGCTATATGTAATGCTTCCCCAACTAATTACAAAGATACTCATAAAAAAAATTCAGAAAAAAAATTTGGGTGCTCCAAGGCGTCAGATCCATGGGCTAATTAACACACGAAAAATCAAGAAAGTTGCGAAATTCCTAAATGTTTGCTCTTAATGCAAAAATATGCCTTAAAATGGTAGGATTATAAGTAATGCTTCCCCAACTCATTGAATAGGTCTTCATAAAGCTTTTTCAGAAATTCTTTTTTGGTGATCCAAGGCGTCAGATCCATACACACGAAAAATACAACAAAGTCGCATAATTCTTAAAAAATGGCTCGTAAATGCAAAAATATGTCTTGAAATGGTGGGACTATACATAATGCTTCCCAAACCACCGGATGCACATATAACCAAAATCCAAGAACTATAACACACAAAAACTTGAAAAATCCTTATTTCCCATTTTGGGCCTCGTTTGAACTTGAAAATGCCGACGTTAGCCCCCCGAATCAACACACGCCATTAAATAGGTCATAAAAGACGTCCACAAAAAGTTTCGGCAAAAAAACACACGAAAAAGTTGGGGATAGATCCATGGGCTAATACACACGAAATGCCAATAAAGTGGCATAATTTCTAAAAGTTGGCTCGTAAATGCAAAAATATGACTTAAAAATGGTGGGACTATACGTAATGATTCCCCAACTCATTATGGAGGTCCTCCTAATGTTTTTTCAGAAAAAAAATTGGGTGCTTCAAGGCGGCAGATACATGGGTTAATACATATGAAAAACTAAGAAAGTTGTGTAATTCATAAAAGTTTGCTTGTAAATGTGAAAACATGCCTTAAAATTGGTGGGACTATACGTAATGTTTTCCCAACTCACTATGGAGGTCCTCGTAAGGTTTTTTTATAAAACAAAATTTAGATGCACCAAGGCGCCAGATCCATAAGTTAATATACACAAAAAAAAGCAAAAAAGTCGTGTAATTCCTAAAAGTTGACTCGTACACGCGAAAAGTTTTCTTAAAAAATGGTGGAATTATACATAATGTTTTCCCAACTCATTACGAACATCATCATAAAGTTTTTTCAGAATTTTTTTTGGGTGCTCTGAGGCGCCAGATCCATAGGCTAATACACACAAAAAAAAAACCAAGAAAAATGTTTCCTAAAAGTTGGCTCATAAATGCGAATTTTTTTCTTAAAATGGTGGGACTCTATATAATGCTTCCCTAACTCATTATGGAGGTCCTCACAAAAAATTTTCAGAAAAAATAATTGGGTGCTCCAAGGCTCCAGATTCATGGGCTAATACACACTAAAAATCAAGAAAGTCGCGTAATTTTTAAAAGTTGGTCATAAATGTGAAAATATGTCTTAAAATGGTGGGATTATACGTACTACTTCCCCAACTCATTACGGAGGTCGTCATAAAGTTTTTCAGATATTTTTTTGGGTGCTCTAAGGCGCCAAATCCATGTGCTAATACACACGAAAAACCAAGAAAGTTATGTAATTCCTCAAAGTTGGCTCGTATATGCGAAAAAATTCCCATCTCATTATAGAGGTCCTCATAAAGTTTTTTTGAATTTTTTTTTAGGTGCTTCTAGGCGTCAGATCCATGGACTAATACACACGAAAAATAAAAGGTCACGTAATTCCTAAAAGTTTGCTCGTAAATGTGAAAATATGCCTTAAAAATCGTGGGACTATACGTAATGTTTCCCCAATTCATTACGGATGTCATCATAAAGCTTTTTTTATAAAAAAATATTAGGTTGCTCCAAGCCGCCAGATCCATGGGTTAATACACAAAAAATCAAGAAAGATGCTTAATTCCTAAAAGTTGGCTCGTAAATGCGAAAATATGTCTTAAAATGGTGGGACTAGACGTAATGTATCCCCAACTCATTACGAAGGTCCTCATAAAAGTTTTTCTCAAAAAAAAAAATTGTGTGCTCCAAGGCGTTAGATCCATGGGATAATAAACACAAAAAACCAAAAAAGTCGAGTAATTCCTAAAAGTTGGTTGGTAAATGTGAAAATATGCCTTAAAATGATGGGACTATACATAATGCTTCCCCAACTCATTAAAGACGTCCTCATAAAGTTTTTTCAGAAAATTTTTTTGGTTACTCCAATGCGCCAGATCTATGGGCTAGCTAATACACACGAAAAACTAAGAAAGTCCTATAATTTCTAAACGTTGGCTAATAAATGCAAAAATATGTCTTTATAATGGTGGGACTATACGTAATGCTTCTCCAACTCATTACGGAGGTCCTCATAAAGTTTTCATAGAAAAAAAATCGGGTGCTCCAAGGCGCCAGATCTATAGGCTAATACACATAGAAAACCAAGAAAGTCGTGTAATTTCTAAAAGTTGGATCGTAAATGCGAAAATTTGCCTTAAAAATTATGGGAATATACGTAATGTTTCCCCAACTCATTACGGAGGTCCTCATAACGTTTTTTCTATAAAAAAAAATTGGGTGATCCAAGGCGCCAGATTTATGAGCTAATACACACGAAAAACAAATAAAGTCGCGTAATTTCTAAACATTGGCTCATAATGCGAAAATATTCCTTAATAATGATGGGACTATATGTAATGCTTATCCAACTCATTACGAAGGTCCTCATAAAGTTTTCTTAGAAAAAAAATTTGGTGCTCCAAAGCGCTCGCTCCATGAGCCAATTATACACATGAAAAATCAAGAAAGTCGCGTATTCCTAAAATGTGGATCATAAATGCAAAAATTTGCCTTAAAAATGGTGGGACTATACGTAATGTTTCTCCAACTTATTACAAAGGTCCTCATAAAGTTTTTTTGGAATATTTTTTTTGAGTGCTCCAAGGCGCCAGATCCATGGGTTTAACACACGAAAATCAAGAAAATCGCGTAATTTATAAAAGTTTTCTCATAAATGCAAAAATATGCCTTAAAATCGTGGGACTATATGTAAATCTTTCCCAACTCATTATGGAGGTCCTTATAAAGTTTTTTCAGAAAAAACATTTGGGTTCTCCAAGGTGCTAGATCCATGGGCTAATACACACAAAAAATTAAGAAAATCGCGTAATTTCTAAAAGTTGACTGATAAATGCGAAAATATACCTTAAAATAGTGGGACTATACGTAATGTTTCCGCAACTCATTACGGAGATTCTCATAATTTGTCCGAGTATGAATTGCGTTGTTAGGAGGTAATACACGTGTACTTAATGTAAGAAACCTAGTTCTATTATTTGTTTGTCCAACCTATGTATCTCAAATTTATGGAATAAGTAGCCATAGAAAAGCCAGTAATCAATCCAAGTATGGAATATATTATTATGAGGAGTAATACCTGTGTAGTAATGTAAGAAACCAAGTTCTATTATTAGTCCGTTAAACCTATATATGTCTCATTTAGAGACTTAGTAGAATCCCACAGTTGTCACTATACGAACATACTAAGAAGTCTCACATTTAACTGTTATTGATGATTTGATTGTCTTGGACCATGAAGACTCCAATGTGATCTTGATTTCCATTCCAATCACGATGATAAACCTAGTAGTACACTGCCTTATTTGGTGTAAGTACTTTAGTGAATGGAACACCCCCACCCCCAAATCAAGTAAGAAAGAAGTAATTTTTTCTGCGACTAAATCACTCTTGACTCTATTTATTATTATAGTGAATCAACGTATCACAATGTCAATTTGAGAGTGTAATTTGAACAAGTATTCACTTAGAATAACAAGAATCAAGCAAAACAACCAATATAATAGTGCTAAGTTTCAATTTGTTCATGTGTCAACTATGCAAATTAGTAGAACTTAAAAATTTGAGAAACCCCCACATAATAAATTTTCAATTGAGGAAAGATTTGGGCAGATATATCTTTTGGATTTTTGTTATGCACCATAAAGCATTATGTAATGCTTATCCTCACTTTTATTTTTTTTAAAATATATGTGACCTCCTGCATATTCAATGTTCAAGTTTGACATTATTATAATGAAACCAAGACAAACTTTTATGGTATTAAGGAATTGTACAACAGACAATGCAACGTTTGGATACTATACCAAAATTAGTGATGCAAAAATATAGAACTTGATGTAGATTCAGAATTAGACATTTAAGGGTGTCTCTATAATGACATAAAGTTAAATACTATAGTATTAGTCAAGTTTATAATTAAATAGTTGGAGATACATATGGATTTATTAATATATATATATACAATGTCATGGGTACGGATACAATATACTCAGTGTAATCCCACAAGCAGGGTTTCGAGAGAATCAGATGTATGCAAGTTTGTAAGGTATAAAGAATATTTTCGATAGGTCCTCGACTAAGTATAATATTAAATGAAAACTGAAAAATCCTTTTTGATGATCTAATATATCTAAAGCCAATGGTGGTGTTTCCACAAACTAGCTAGTGTACATTATCCACCTACTTTTGCTATGTAATTAATTTCTCTATACAATTTGCTATTTTTATGTGTACTACTATATAAAGAGTGTCACTTTCTCAAATTGTTGCAACCATAGAACAAATATACATCATATATACATGGCTTTCAAATTGCAACTTGTAACTATGCAAGAAGAGAAATTACGAAAAGGGCCTTGGCTCGACGAGGAAGACAAGAGACTAGCATATGTTATCGCCATTTTAGGTGAACGTCGTTGGGATGCCTTAGCAAAAGCTTCAGGTAATAATTAGTACTTCAAACTGATAGAATGTATAAAAATCTAGGCAAATTTCATATCGATAAAATAAGTATGTGATATATTAGGTCCACAAATAAGTCATCAAGCCCCTTAGACCCTAGTGACGCACTTTAATTAAAGTCATCATGTGGGCCTAGCTAGGCCCAAAGGCACATTAGTATCAATAGTAGGTCGGATTGTTGCATATATAACATAAAATTCTTTTATTCAAGATCTTTATATAGTTTATTTTTTCTAGCTAGTTGATATACATATTTTAATTGCATTCGAAATTTGGTTCCATGCAGGGCTAAGGAGGAGTGGGAAAAGTTGCAGATTAAGATGGATGAACTACCTTAGACCTAACTTAAAACATGGCCATATCACTCAAGATGAAGAACATCTAATTATTAAACTTCAGAAACAATTGGGAAACAAGTAATTAATTAATTAATTAATCTCCTTAGTTAATTTTTATGTTTTTCAGAAGAAAATTCTCTAATTCACTTTGCTAATTGAATTTAATTTTCTAACTTAATTTAACAGGTGGTCACAGATTGCTAAACAATTGCCAGGAAGAACTGATAATGAAATAAAGAATTATTGGAGAAGTCATTTGAGAAAGAAAGCACTTATTTATGAACAAGGTCCAATACAACATTCTCCTTAATTTCTCACATTATTCACTTCTTTGTGTTATCTATAAGTCAGGAATTTGAGTTGTGAAATTAGTTATTGATATTCGTTTTAAGCTATATCGCCTACATTAAATCCTCTTGTGAAGTCTTTATTCGGGCCTTGCACAAACACGTGGTACTTTGTGCATTGGATTGTCTTTTTTAAAAAAAAAAATCACTATATTAATTACATGTATTGTAATTTACCATTAAGGGAAGCTCGGTGCACAAAACTTCCACTATGGGCAGGGTGTGAAGAAGAGGCGGAACAAAAGGATCTATTGTATGCAATTTTACCCGACATTTATGAAAGAGTTGTTTCCACAGTTCGAACCCCTGACCTCTTAATTATATGACAACAACAATATCAGTCAGGCTCTAATGCTCCCCGTCTATTTATTATAAATTATCAAATCAATAATTATTAAACGGAGTTACCAATAATTAGCTGATTATCTAATCATTTTATTTTGTGTTACAGAATGTTTTGGAAGCAATATTACAAGTAGTAATTCAGAATCAAAATCATCATTTGGAAAAGTTGATGATGAATCCTCAAGATTGTTGGATTGGATGATACCAAGTTGGTCATATGAACAAAATCAAATGGAACATCACATGTACTTTTGTACAATATTAAACCTATGTTCTTGTAATGCTTCTTATCAAGATGAAAATATTAGTAGCACATGGGATGATATTTCAGCATCTTCTATTTGGGAATAATAAGTAAATTAAGAAATTAAAAAGAGATTGAATTGTATAGACAAGTGTGAATTAATGTAATTTCTTCATTTTGAAGGGGAAAAAAAAAAGAACTTGAGGGACAAAAGATGCCAACATATTTGAGTTAATCTAGTTATTTATTAAATTTAACTTTGATTTTCTTGAATTTATTTGACAGACTTTATTCGACGTGAAATTTGTTATGTTCATGAAAAATCTCTAGTGATCAATACTCAATTACTCATCATATTTGTTACCAACATTGTTTATTTGGATATTTCGAAGTCATGTATCTTGAATTTATTAATTTAATCATTTTTCATGTGTATTAATACATTATCATTAGTATATTTTACACAAATTCAGCTAATTATATTCTATCCCTATTTTTTTTTTTCAAATTACAAAAATTCTTTAAAATCCCATAATAATGTTTCCTTTTTAGTATTATTATTATTATAAAACCTTAAACTCATATTTCTACGGAGGGGGATTAAATCCCATCCTAATATGTTCGAATAAATTAAATAAATCCTCCAATATATAAACAAAACTAAACACTAGCTTATAATATGCACGTTTTATTTCTTTCGAAAAAATTGGAGATAATTTTTATATAATATCCCTTCATAGCCATAGGTCATCAAGTAGGTTAAAGTATACAATCACCACCAATTGAAAAATAATGCCATCCCAAAGATAAGTACAAAGTATACATGATTTTTTAAAAAAATAAAAAATGGGATGATAATAATATCATTTTAATTAAACTTCATTTAACCCATTGGATAATGATTTAAAATCAAATCCCTCCTATTAAAAAAAGTGGATAATCTTCTTTCTTCATCCATCTCAGTATGTTTAGTAAGCAAGTTAGACAACTAGGATATAAAGTGGAAAAAACAACTTGATCATGTCATTTGTCATTAACAAGTTATTAATTATTTCTTAAAAAGTAATAAATAAGTTGGTTGGATGTTGGAGTGTGACAAACAAAATAATTAGAGAAAAACAACATCATCCATTTAGTTCAATTTGTCTCCTAATAAATTAATAAACACTTTTTAATTGCTATGAACAATCCATTTTTTTTATATTATTGTCAATGTAATTATGAAAAGAATAAAATAAACTTTGATTTTTCGTTAACTTAAGACACTTGATCTCGTAAATATCTTATTTTTCAGAGAAGTAAATTCTTATTCTTACGAAGCAAATAACATTATCTATTAATGTATCTCCTCCTAGACTTATGTTGATTCTGAATTATTTATCACTAAGTTGTTTTCAAGAACCAGCAAAAGAGAAAAAAACATTAAAAAAAATTGGACTATAATATAAGAAGTTGTAAATCTTCACTTTATATTTAGGAACCATCTGGTTACTTCTTAGTTGACATATAAAACATGTAAAATTCTATATTTTACTTCAAATCAATTAGTATATATATACACATCGAAGATTATAGTAAAATAGTAAATACATGTATATCCTTTATTAAAGGGCTAGAATTTATAAGATTGCTTTTAATAATTGAATCTAAATTAGTGAATATATGAAATATCACATATAATATATACTCCTCGATCTTTAATTAGATAATTTTATCATAAAACTTAGTAAGAGTTCTGCAAATTATATAATGATGACCCATTATTACTTAGTTCATCTTGACTCAATCCATATAATTTGAGCAAATTATTTTAACTCGCTCATTTCACACCCGCTAATGATCATGTAAAGATATAATCTTGTAAATTTTTCTTGATTAAAGAGTTCAGGGCGACAATTATGCCACCACAGATAATTTAAGTACCTTCAAAACACATTAACAACAATTTCTAAATAGTTGCAAAAAAAGGACAATTTGTTTTCCTTTTTTTTTAAATGTCTTAATTTTTTTTAAGACTACAATAAGGCTAACAATGTCATTAGAAAATTAAATAACAAGGAGAAATTAGAGTAAATTGAAGAGCTTCTAGACTCTTCATCACCACCATAATCGTCGTCGGAGTCGCCGGAAATCGCCACGAGATCTTCCCCTCCACCGTCATCTCCGGCGGATTCGGTGTCATTGTTGGTGGCAGCAGTCCATTTTCCACTGTTGCTGCCCCTGCTCATTGTCATAAAATTTTCCATTTTAGTAAACTCAAAATAAGAACTATAGTCACAAAAAAAACATTAATTCCATTTACTATTTCTATTGATTGATCCGACTAATTTAGATTTGAATCACACTAATTTACTAAAAGTTCATAAAGGGGATTTAAATAATTGTTAGAATGTCCTATTTAGAATTTGAACATGTGATCGATGAACCGCCTTAAGTTACATACCTAAAAAAAATCTTATATCAAGGAAATTATTTGGTTAAATAGAACCAAAAAAAATAAATAAATTTGATCTATTTGTGCAACAAATTTTTTTTATATAAAAGGGACTCAATTAAACCCCTTTTCTTCTTATTTTTATTTGTTATAGCAGTAATTTTCATCTTATTCATAATTACTCAATTAAACCCCTTTTCATCTTATTTTTATTTGTTATAGCAGATAATTTTTTATCTTATTCATAATTACAAGAAGCTTATGTATAAATATCTTTTGAATATTTTAATAATATAAAAAAAATCATTTACTAACAATATATATAACTAAAACATTTTTTTATTGTAACTAGTGAGGAGCATGTTCCATTTGGATTCTTGAAAATTCAAATTTGATGAGACATTTTCTTAGACATAATTCTTGTGTCACTTAGAAAATATTAAAGTACCCTAAATTATTATTACTACAACTAATAACATTAGTACTAATAATTATTTGTCACAAAAGTCTTAAGAGGGGACTATTAAGGTGTTGATTACTCTAATTAGAGTAACATAAAGCACCAAAAGTGTGATAGAAAAAGTAAAAAAGTAAAGTTTAGAGGGAAAAGTGAAAAAGAAGGAAAGTAAAAGGAGTTAACCTGTGAATAAGAACACCAGCATTTAAAGTAATTTGGTCAATAAAATCAGCAGATTTGGGCTCCACACTATAAGCTTTTTCATATTTAACTTCAACTTCTTCACCAGAGGCCACAAAGTATGCTCCATTTGCCATTACATCCCCTTCACTTCTCCAATTCCAATTTCTCCATTTTCCTTCATCCGTGTCCACTCTTTTTGTTACCTATAATCGATCAGTGACAAAATCAGAAATTTTAGTAAAACACGTCGAAATATGAAAAGTAGTAATTTGGATGTTAGTTGACACCTTTTAAACTGATCCACCAATGTATGTTGTCAGTCAGAGATGGAGTCAAGAGAATTAGTTTATGGATTATGAATCATATTTGTCATTTTATTTTTCGAGTTCTATATGAATTATTTGTAGATATTAAATATTTTTTATGATGTAAATATATAACTAAAATTATTAAATTCTGCTGAGGGCTCCACCACTTCATGTAGTGTCCCCACACACATCACATCTCACATTAATGGGCATCCAATGCAATTTAAAGCACAAAATTTGACTAAACTATACGAATCCTCAGTTATCATTTATTTTTAAAAAATTTGAATTCATTTTAAGTTTATGTTGCTTCGACCTTTTTGAAACAATATCGAACGCATGTCAAATTCTTTAAAATTAATATTTGTAAAATTTAACACGTACCTATTGACATTTTGAAAAAATTGAGCAGATAATCTCAAGCTAATAATATATAAAATAAGACTAAAAACAAAAAGTATTAGTTGTTTTCTCTATATTTTCTATTGGCATAAAAATATTAGACATGACTGAAAAGAATGGAAAGCATGGGACCTAAAGTAGAAAAGATAAAACAAAGTATTTAGAAATTTTTAAATAATGTAGCTCATAACTTTAATCCAAATACACCCAAAATTAAAATTCTTTTCCAAATTAGTACTCTTTCTTTAATTAAAGACATGTTAGTCTTATTTTATTGCATGAAAAAATAGAAAGAAAAAAGAAGACAAGCATAATGTTATATTTCAAATAATTAAGTTCAACCAATTGTTTATGTATAATATATGTATAATCAGTATATATCGACTAGGAAAAATAAACGAAAAAAAAGTGTACCTCTTTAGCAAAAGGGTCAAAGGGTGCAATATATCTATTTCCTTGGCTGTTAATAGTAGGACTTCCACTTCCACCAATTGCATACATTTCCCATCTTGTAAAATCATTATTGACAACATGAATATATCCTCTTCTACACCTTGGCATTCTTTGAATTAATTTTTTACCAAAATGATTAAATGATATTGTGACTTGCATACCTGAATCTGGCAAATAATCATCACTATGTCCCAATAACATTACCTCATTATGATGTGAAAAATGATTATTTGATATCGTTATCCCCGTTGACCCCATAACTACATCAATTAATCCATCTTTACAATTGGACAATGAACAATGGTCTATCCATATGTCTCGTGACCCGAAAATCGAGATTCCGTCCCCGTCCGACTTGCCTCGGTATCCAAAATGTGTAGGGCTCGAACGTACGTTCGTATAGCCCGATTCGTAACAATGATGTACGTGTATGTTGTGGATTATAACGTTGGAGATATATTGTAACGTTATGCAACCCCCTCCCGTTATGTGCACATTGACCCCACGTCCGTCTAGGGTTTTGTGCGAGTTGAAAATGAGTTCTTCCGAGAGTTTAATCTCCATATTGGCTGAGAATACTATCCATAACGGTTCCTCTTGGATGACTCCGTATCGGAGAGTGCCAGGTGGCGGGTTCACGGGGTCGGGGTCCGAGGATGAGGTGACCACATAGTAACGACCGCCTTTACCACCGAGGGCATATTGACCGAAACCGATGGCACAATCGGCTAGTCTTTGGCGATTTAGTTGCCAACTATGGTCACATCGCCAACAATCATCGATAGGGTTGCCCGTTTGACAAGAGGATTGGTCACTACTTGTGTAAGACAACATTTTTCTTCTAGATTGGAAAATTGAGAGTGATGCATTCACTTTCCTGCAATAACTTATTGTTAATTTATAATTGAGAAACTATAATAGATAATGATGTACGATTTGAAATTCATTGAATAATAAGTTCATTCAACATGGGTGAACTTGTAACATGTGTTGAACACACATGTCGCGCAATCCACTATTGTCACTAGACCAAAGCCATAAGGGCGAAAGGAACTTTAATTATTTACACATTGAAAATATGAAAGGTACAAGAGATTACGCTAATAAAATGTATCAGTATATAGAAGTTAAATCCCACGGAAAAGTTTGAGTAAGGAATATGGAATTGCACCTTATAAGAAAAAGAATAAAAGAAATGTTTTGTGGTCAATGATGTAAATGAACAAAAAATTTCCTCTAGCTTTATATATGTTTGTACAAACAAGGCAATGAGTTATGGAACATTTAAACAAGTCGCAAAACAAAAAGACAAAAGCTATATGGATTTCTATCTATGGCTGAAAAACAATAATTCCACTAATTAAAGTGATTTGAGGGCCTACAAGTAGATATTCATAAAAGGAGAAAGCTATGATTTTATTTTTTATTTTTATTTTTATTTTAAAAAGAGAAAAATAATCAACCAATAAATATTCATATCTACCTACATTAAGAACACTTTAAAAAGTTAATTAAAGCTCATAAAGCCAATTAAAAAAACAAGAAAAAATCCAAACCCTCTCCCTCCTTAAAAAAATAAAATAAAATAAAAAAACAAAAGAATGAAGAAGATAAACTTAATTTATGCAAGAAATCAAACTCTAAACTAATCAAAAGGAATACAAAATTTGCTCATTATTTACAAAGTCTCTTGAATGTAGAGGGTAAAATGTTAATTAACACCTCATTCTCAAGAAAAAATAAATGAAAAAGAACAAAATGTGGGATTATTAACCTTTATTTCGTTTGTCTAGTATCTGTATTGAGGCCTCGATTAACTCGGTTTTTTATTGCGTACTAAAGGAGAAAAATGTTCCTTATCAAGAAAACTCATACTCAAAACTCGTACACAAGACCTCGTATCCATCCTACCTAGTGGGGAGTCCCACATTATGGAAAACAGAACATGTAAAGAACAGAGTAGCAAGCAGACAACAGAGAAAGACATAAACAAGAAAAAATAAATGAAATGTGGTACAATTAACCTGTAATTTTATTTTATTTTTCAAGTTTTCCAGCCGTTGCTCAGTACCCAGAGTAAATCCCCGACTAATTCAGATTTACACTACATAAAACTCTAAAAAGAGGGAAACTTCCTTCCAGATAAATAATAACGGTAACATTGTCATCATATCATATTATCACACTTCATATCAATAAAGAAAAAAATCCATACCCAAATATGTTTTTTTAAGTGTGTTCGCTACGAAGGAAAATGTATTTCATTTTTTCTATTTGGAAAATAAATTCTTTAAAAAAAGTATTAAATGACTTCCCAAATGGAAATACAAAAAACAAGTTTTACGAGTATCATTCCCCGTTTATTAATTATGTTTTCACTACCCTCAAACACACCTCACCTTCATTCCTATCACCCCACCCCCACCCCCACCTCTTGTTCAAGAATGTGGAATTCTACATTGTGAAAAAACAGAACATATAGCAAATATACAACATAGAAAGACACAAAACAAGTTAAAATCATAAAAAAAAAAAATGTTTTTTATTACCTATTAACTTCAAGAGCAACAGCTTCAGGATCAGGATGCTGACCAGGAAGAGTAGTGACATTCAAGAAAATCCCAAAAGCAAGTGGAAAAAATGAAGTTAGAATCAAGAAAATCACAATGTAGCTTCTTTGAAACATATTTTCTACAATAATATTTGAGTGTTTTTTTTTTGTTTTGTGTGTTTTTGGGGTTAGTGAGTTAGCTGCATTGTGGACAAGTTTAGTGAGAAAATAGAGTGTGTATTGTGTAGACTCTGGAAAAAGATAACAAGTGATAGGTATATGTATTTTCTACTTTCTAACATGATTTTATAGTGTCATCGTTTAAGAGAAAATCTTACCCTTGGATTCACTCATGATTTAATAGTGGAAAAGCAATAGAGGGTTTTTTTTTCTTTTTCGATTAACGGTAAAGTTGTTTTCGTGTGTGTGATATATGTATAAGTTACTATTCTGAGAAATGGAATTAACCAATGATATTTGTGATAGGATAGACTACACTTGTATTCGTATGATTTAATTATATGTCACATATTTGAATCGTTGAATTTATTTGTGTCATGATAGATAGGTTATCTATATTTTATTACTTTTATAGAGGGCTTAAGTCATCGACTGCCCCTTAAAGTTGTCTGCATAATTCACTTAGACACCTCAATTAAGACTTGTATCTATTGAACACCTAAATTGTTCAAACATGTACCTATTAAACACAAAACACTGATATGGCAAAAATGTGTTTTGCACTTCCCTGTAGCGCGTGAAAAGATTCAAAATAGTGTCTTTTTGAAATTTTTTTACATTTTTTCTTCTTTTATTGACACTTGAAACATTTTTCTTCTTTCATTTACATCTTTTTCCAAAAAGAAAAGGACCCCACTCCCTACCTATCATCTTCTTCATACTTTAGTTGAGAAAATGATCAAAATGGTCCTTAATGTATGACTTTGATTATATTTGGTCCTTAATGTATGACTTTGATTATATTTGGTCCTTAATGTATGACTTTGATTATATTTGGTCCTTAATATATGAACTTGATGGAAATGGCCCTTTATGTATCATAAATTGTAATCAATTTGGTCCTTAACCTTAAAATTAATATATTTCATTTTTTTTTGCCGTCAAAATACACGGAATATGTAAAAGATGCGCTCGTTCAAGACTTTCCTTCCCCTGTTTCCAAAAATTCCAAAATGGCACATCAAATTTTTTTTAACCAAAAGGGCAAAGGAACGATTTTCTTTTGACAAAATTGACGTCGTTACTCCTTTAAAAAACATAAAAATCGCTGCCGGTCCAAAAATATTTTTTTTCTTTAAAATCGCTGCTATGAATTTATTTTTTTAACAACGTTGCCCCAGCAGCGTTTAAAAAATAGAAATAGCTGCTATAGCAGCCATTTTCTTAAAAAAAATTAATTTTTTTTTAATTAAAAATTCTCGAGGTGAGGACTGCTTAAAAAAATAATGGGAAATCGCTCCACGTGTAGCGATTTTAGTTAAATTTTTTCTTTTAAATAATCGCTGCCACGGCAGCGATTTCAATAGAAAAAATTTCCCAATTGAGTTACTTTATAATTTGTTATTGTATACTTTTTGATTGCTAGCAGCAATTGGAAAATAATAATAAAAATTCTTACTAAAATCGCTGCCAAGACAATGATTATTTAGAAAAAAAATTTAACTAAAATCGCTACACGTGGAACAATTTTCCATTATTTTTTTAAGTAGTCCCGCCTCAAGAATTTTTAATAAAAAAATAAAAACTTTTTTAAGAAAATGGCTACTATAGCAGCTATTTCTATTTTTTAAACGCTGCTGGGGCAACGTTGTTAAAAAAATAATCCACAGCAGCGATTTTAAAGAAAAAAGAAAAAAAAAATTGGACCGGCAGCGATTTTTATGTTTTTTAAAGGAGTAACGGCGTCAATTTTGTCAGAAGAAAATCGCTCCTTTGCCCTTTTGGTTAAAAAAAAATTGATGTGCCCTTTTGGAATTTTTGGAAACAGGGGAAGGAAAGTCTTGAATGAGCGCCTCTTTTACATATTTCGTGTATTTTGACGGCAAAAAAAATGAAATATATTAATTTTAGGGTTAAATGACCAAATTGATCACAATTTATGATACATAAAGGATCATTTCCATCAAGTTCATATATTAAGGACCAAATGGAATCAAAGCCCATACATTAAGGACCATTTTGATCATTTTCTCTACTTTAGTTTGCAAAACTTTCTTCATTTGAGCTCCAACATTATTTTTCTTTCTTTTTTATAAAAAAAATAATATTATTTCTTCCAAATATGAAGATAAATGAAACTCAACTATGAAGATTCAGATTTGAAAGAAAGTAAGTCGTGTGATTTATTTCAAATCTCATAAAAATAAGGAACAAATATGAAGAAGAAGAAAGAAGACAAATGATTTTTAAGTATAAAAAAAGTTAGCCGATATTTGTTTATCACAATATTCGAACAAAGATTTTTACTCAAATTCATATATAAACCCATTAAATTTATCAAAAATGATATTCAAAAATTTGAAAGAATTAATTTTTGAGTATGAAAATGTATATATATATATATATATTTTAAAGTTAATCTTCAAGTTATTTGAAAAAAATTAGGTTTTGTGATTTGAGAAAGAATGTGTTTTGGGAAGAAGATGAAGATGAAAGAGGGTTGGGTAGGAGGGGGTGGGGTTGGGTAGAATAGGTTGATATTTTCATTTTTTTTCTTTTTCTTTTAAAAAAAATTAGATATAAAAAGTGTTTGAAATAATTTTAAACAATTTTTTTTTTTATATAATTTTCTGGGCCCAGTGCCACATGTTATTTTTTAATTAACCGTTTTGCAACGTCACCGCAAGTGTTAACACACTCTTCATATATTTTGCTGATTATCAAAAAATGCCTAATAGAAACAATTTTTGAATTAATAAAAGTGTTCAATAGGTACTAGTTTTAGTTGAGGTGTCTAAGTGAATTATGCGGACAACTTTAAGGAGCCGCTAATGACTTAAGCCTTTATAGTGTGTACATGAACGAGTGATGCTTTGAATATTACTACATTTTGTATTTAGTTTATTATTTTTATCAACTTTTTATTGAAAATTTTGTTAGCACATTCAACAATTTCCCTCTTAAATTAAGTTCTACATGGCACAAACCGAGTTAGTTCTTCATAGCTCGTCATCTCATATTCTATCTTAGAGATTAATTATGTTTCACTCATATTATTCGAATTTATATAAATATAACAATCAAACCTCACATGGTTAGCTTCTATTATGTGTGAGCGTATTCACGCTACAAGTAAAGGTAATAAATCAGTTTGTATATGAGTGATAACAATAAATTGAATCCACATTATCATTTTGTGACATTTGTATACTTATCTTTTTTAAACTAGCGACTCAAAATTAGTCGTTGGACTAGTTCAAATCAAATATACTCTTAATATGATTATTAAGATGTAATATTATCTGTTTTAAACTAAACACACGATTTTCTTCAAATCATCTCACATCATTTAAAATGTCACTTATTCACCAACTCAACGTCCCGAAATCAACCTCACCACCCCCATCAACCCAATCCAATAAAAAGAGTAGAAGATAAAAAGGATGAAAAGGTATAGTCTCAACCTTCTTTTACATGAAATTTTCATACTTTATTGTCAATAAAACTGGTTTGGATATTGGGGAAATTAAAAAAATCTTTATAGTGGACCACTCAAGTCCTAATTTGAGGGCCATGTATAACTGACCTATGTCTGTTAACATTATTTTTTTGTTATAATAATAGTAATAATTCTACTTCTCACTTCCTCTCTAGGAATTGGAGACAATTTTGAATAGCAACTTTCTGGTATCATGGAAGGGTAAAACTCACTTCTTATTTTATTTATTTTGAAAAAAGGAGGTAAAATTCACTTATGGTCAGTTTTTACATTATATATATTGTGATTATAGAATAATATTCATATGATAAAGCTTCAAATTCTATGATGTTATTTGTAGAATTTAAAACCTCATGATAAACAATATTTTTTTTTAAATATGGATGATTTATCAAAATAGCCTAAAAATGGAGTCATGACTTTGTAACTCGCTTGCTTCATAAACAAAACTTAAGTATAACAAATTTTACCCATGAATAAAACCTTCATTTTTTTACTTTGAACGTTTGTCCATGGAGGAAGCGAAATCAAAGGTCAAAATCACTTATTTTCAAGATTATTGAGCATAATTTCTTGGAAAAATGGTATTTGCATGTTATTTCTTTATCTCGAGACTCATTTTACGATTTACAAGAATGATCTTGGATGGGATAGTCTTAGCTTTTTACTTTAAAAGTTTGTTTATCGAACAAGCGGAAGTCAAAAGTTTAAAATCATTCATTCTCAAAGTCATTGATAATTATTTTGATGTGTCATTGACACTTAAGCCCTTATTTTGTGTTGGTCTTTACCGTATACCCCTCATAACAAACAAGAAATATTCGCAAGACATAAATATATATTTTTATGTTATAATATCTCCCAAATTATATTCACACGACTTCAGTTTCTAAAAACACATATGTCCCACTGGACAATATTTCAATTGCTAAAGGATAAATATTAATGATCAACTCATTTTAAGGATAAGTAATTAAGGGTCGATGCATTTTAAAAGCAATTCGTGCAATTTTTTGTACTCTCTTTATATTACAAATAATTTATATGACTCACATTTCATTTTGACTATTAGAAAAATGACAATTTATATTTAACAACAATTAAATTTTAAAGTATATATTTTAATCTTAATAAAATTATTTAGAGCATCTGTATGACTTATTCTAAAACACAATTTCTTATAATTATTTTTTTCAAATATTATATATATCAAATTAAAATATGTCACGTAAATTAAAAATAGAAGCATTAATGGTAGCTAGAGCCCATACTCAAAGACCACTATGGCTTGTTGGGACAGAGAACACTTTGCAAAAAGAACCTTCTTTTTTAAGCCTTTAGAACCGTAATTTGCTCAGTTTTTTAGGTTAGAACTGAAAAGTTACCCTAATTTTTGGCTCCATATATACCTTTTCCTTTTTTTTGCCCTTTTAAATAAAGTTAATAGGGTCCTTTTTACTGTCCCAAGAAACAAATTGATTGTTATCAAATTATGACCATCACCGTAGTAATATATCAGTAATTATTTTTAAAATTACTG